TCAGACTAAAATTGATTAGACCATTCCCAACCTATCAGCTTCTACATTTGCAAAAGTAGTTTCCTTCTTACATTGATACTGATGATGCTTAAACATATCCAACAATCTAAGAGACAAAGATCACAGTAGGTCGAATATAAGAACCAAAAGCATCCAACCAAACAATTTGTATCATACCTGAAATCCTAGATTATACCTGGTTTTGATACTTAGGACTCGTTTAGTTGGGAACAAGTTATCACGTGCATTTTATCCAAACGAAACACGTGATAAACTCATCCTAAAATGAACCCCGGAATTAGTTATTCCTTATCACTCCTACCAAAAAAGGCCTAATAGACATAAATGTAAAGGCAATTTTCCCTATATATCAAGTAACTAAATGCTCAATGCTCAGCTTGATTAGTTTGCCATGATAATAGAATTATAGAAAGGCGAAATAAAACACAATCCAATTTTAAAATCACAGGAAATAACTAGTAGCAAAAATTACCATCTTAGCAACTTTCTTCCAGAAGTTAGGTGTTGCCTTCGCCGCAAAATACGCACTTTGCAACGCCAACTCTTGTTCATTGGTCCACCCATTAACAACAACATTATTCTCCTCCATTCCTTGGGTTCTCTTCCTCTTCAAGCCTGCCTCTTTCTTTCCCAAGCCGCCATTGCCATCGTCCTCCCCACATCCCGCTACTTCAGACAATGGGACAGGACTCTCTATGATACCACCCAACACACATCTAGAAACACGAGCTTTTCCACTTCTAGTAACAACCCCATTTCTTTCCTCAACTGAATCGTCAATGGCGACACAAACCCAAGCAGAATCACGACTTACCCTTCTCTCTGAATTCTTAACCTCACCATTGTTCTGCGGAGTTCCAATACTCAATCTTGAAGATCTTCGCAACCTGGTAGTCGATTTTGTGGGGCTTTTTGAAACTTCAATCTGTTTCTTGATGACTTCTGCAGCAGCAGCAGCGGCATTAAGCCGCGGAGATCTTCTGAGAGTAGGTGTTGGCATTTCTTGATCTTTGGAGCTTCTTTGAGGCATTTTCACAAACAGATGGTACTAGGTTTTTCGTGATTGTTGCGGCACATTGAGTTTGAGAGGGAAAATTTGAGGATATGATCTTTCGAAATGTTGACAAAAGGGAAGAGACATAAAAGTAAATATTCCTAAAATTATTTTATACAATGACATTTTTAAATTATTATTACCTAAAATACAATTTTGCTAGTTGAATATGGAACATCGTAACAATGAATAGAAATGAAATAATTATATTTTCTACGTAAGTTATTAGATTAGACTAGTATATCAAAGGAGAATACTGCAAATGTTTGAAGTAGATGACCAAACTTAAAAGTAAGCAGATAATAGATAAGGTTTTTTTTTCGTAATTCGTTCAGAAATTATGATAATTTTTTAGTACGTTTGTCTTTCACAATTTTAATTTTAAGTACATATGTGTATGTATATTTTATATTAAATGTTTGGTTTTTGTTATTTGATATTTTCGTGGCTCTGTATAAGGTATTAATTTCTTCTTCTCTATTATTTCCGATTTGAATGCTGTGATTTTGTTATTTTACTTGGGAAATTCCTTTTTTTCTTTGATTTAATCTGAGTCTATATTTTTTTTACAAGATAAAAATTAATTTTATGATACGATTGTTGAAAAAAGTAGAGAAAAAAGATTGGAAAGAAAAAGATTGTAGGAGGAGATCTGGACAACATTTTCTCTCTTTTTTCAAGTGAGGGTGATTAAGGGAGGGGCGGAGGGGTCTAAAAAGAAAAATATTGTGAGAGGCGGAGAAAAGCGGGCAAAAATTTACTATAAAAATAGAAAAATGTTATTTTATTTTAAAATTTATTGAAAGTATCGCGGAATTGTAAAGATAGAATAGTTATGTTTGCTAAAATATGTAAGTTTTTTAAAAAAATTAATTAGCTTTTTAAAATATATCATTAATTGTTACAAAGGGTGACAAATTTAATATATATCGTACATTATATATATGAAATCTTATACATACGAAGTTTCAATCAAGTTCACTAGATGTCGTGACACCCCCTTTCTTACACATAGCTCCGTCCCCTGTCTTAACTTTTATATATATATATATATATATATAAATAAATAAATAAAAGTTGACCTATCCAAAATTTGGAATTTGGCTTTGGCAAGGCCACAATTTAGACAATGGTGCTCGAAATTTGCTAAATTTCAAACATAAAATTTTTTATACTTCGGTTTCTTATTTTTGAAGGAAATATCATTTTAATATTCCTAAGAAACAAATAACTCTTCAAAGGAGATAATAATAAAACAACAATTAATTAAAATATCATGATCTACAAAGTATTATCATTTTCATTAGTAACAAATAAAATAAAAAAATTGTTATCAAAAAGTTAAAATAAAGATGATAATCGTTATATTGCAAATATGAGGGAGGTAAGTGAAACAAATTAAAACGACAGAAAAAGTTTTAAACAATCAACTTTAGCTTAAACAACAATCCTATATTCGAGTGTTTATGCCCTACAACAATCCTATATTCGAGTGTTTATGCCCTTTCAACCATTTCGGGGAGGGGGATCATTTACACAGTTCTTCATATTTTGAGCCGATCTCTAATTTTTCTCTTTCAAATACCTACGATAAAAATTAAAAAAATTTCACGAAATAAAGAGAATTCGCGCAAAAATTTAATTAGGGAAACTTATATGAGTATACTATAATAAAAAAAATATTTACTATTTATAGCAATAATTTTTTTTTCACTTGATCACTTTTAATTCATTTAAAATACAAATTTAATACATATTACAAATAAAAATTTATTATTCACATATAATACAAACTTTAATGATGAATAATACATCTATCACAAATTTTAATACATTTATAGTATAATGTGACAATTTTTTACCAAACAAACCTGATATATTTCAAAAACAATTATAATTCATATATATTGCATACATAGTTCACTTTTAATACATATTACAGATTTAACAAAGCAATGCTATAAATGGTGATAAACAAAAATTATCGCTAAAATCAGTAATTATTTTTAAAAATGTATTAATTTATATAATTTTTCCTAATTTAATTTGTAAAAATTAGGCAAATGACATACTGTAAATGATAAATTACATTCTATCCCTATAAAATTAATATTTACCAAAAATCCCTTTTTTAAAAAATTCTAGATACTTTATAAAACAGAAATGATACTAAAATATAAATGACCGAATATTTTTTTTTATTTTTCTATAACTGTTATAGCTAAAATCAAGGGTAACTGATTTCCCTTCACTTGATTTATGTTAATCTTGTAACTAATTTACTGTGAAAATTGCTTCAGAAATTACTGCATTAAATCATCATTTAATTTAATGATTTTCCTTCCATTTATTTATGTCAATTTTGAAACCATTTTACCGTGAAAACTGTTTCCAAAGTACTACTTTAAATCATGTTGTATATTGGACCAAACTTTAATGCATTAGTTGGAATATGTTTAATGACGTAATTCATATTCTGCAATAAAACAAATAAAATTTTATTAAATTGTAAAATATATAAAAAGTTTATAAAGTATTGAGCGCATATAATAATATTAATGTTTTAAGTTGTACTAAAAATTGCCTAATGCTGATTCTAAATATAAATAAACAGGTTAACATGACACTTACAAATATTATTTGAAACTATATATAAACGAAATATTAAATTTAAATATATTTCTTTGATACATTAAATTTCATGTCCAACACATAAAAATATACTCAAAAATTCACAATTTAAATTAGATACTTAAATTTTTATATACTTATCAATAACTCATATAAATATGATACTTGAATAACAGATGTATGACAGTATGATACACATATACTATTATTTGATACCTTAATATATACGAAATATAAGTAAAAATAACACAAAGAATCATTCTATCATGAGCATCAAAAAAATGATACTTAATAAAATTAATTGAACATACTAACAAATTTATTCAAAAATCATGATAAGATTAAAAAGATACTTAATACAATTCATCTTATACTAAAATATAAATAAACAGTTTAACATGATACTTACAAAATACTAATTGAAACTATATATATAAACGAAATATTAAATTTAAAATCTATTTCTTTGATACATTAAATTTCATGTCCAACACATGAAAAGATACTCAAATTCACAATTTAAATTAGATACTTAAATTTTTATACACATATTCTATTATTTGATACCTTAATATATTCGAAATATAAGTAAAAATAAAACAAACAATCATTCTATCACGTGATACTTACAAAATACTATTTGAATCTATATATAAACGAAAAATTAAATTTAAATATGTTTCTTTGATACATTAAATTTCATGTCCAACAAATAAAAAGATACTCAAATTCACAATTTAAATTTGATACTTAAATTTTAGTTAAATTAAATTTAAATATGTTTATATTAAGGTTTTATTACCTTCCGTTTGTACTCTTTGTGTCAATTACAGGTCATTCACAAAATTTAGCTTAATGTTAAGTAATGGGTTGGGGGTTGCAAGATTATAATTGTGGCGATGATATGTTTTTGGCAGATTGAATGAGCACACTGTGTTGAAATTACTGAAGGGGAGGAGAGAAGCATTATGTGGACAATTAAGTGAAATACTCTTGGCCAAGATTTTCCTTGAGAAAATTTCTTTCTTGTTATGCACCTTAAGGTAAACTAACTTTTTAATATTTTAATGTATAAAATTTAATTAGTATCATTTGGAATTAAAAGGAATTTTTGTAATTTAATATATCAATAGGAAATTAATGAAATTAAATAAAATAAAGTAGTGTATTTTAGTAAATTTTCCATTTAAGTTCATGTTGTCTTTTTGGAGTTGGGCCAATAAAGTATTTCGTGGAAGCCCAAATTAAAAGGGCTTTCACAAGCCCAGATTTATTTTACTTCATAAACCCTAATCGCACTCTTCAGCCTCTCACTCTCCCGTTTTCGCTCTGAGAATCAGCAAAAATGCAGAAGCAAGAAGCAGCCGCAGCTACGGTGGAATCCGTCCAATGCTTCGGGAGGAAGAAGACGGCAGTGGCGGTGACTCACTGCAAGCGTGGGCGTGGTTTGATCAAGATTAACGGTGTCCCAATCGAGCTTGTTCAGCCGGAGATCCTCCGGTACAAGGCCTTTGAACCAATCCTTCTCTTAGGACGTCATCGTTTCGCCGGAGTTGACATGCGTATCCGTGTGAAGGGAGGTGGTCACACTTCTCAGATCTACGCTATCCGTCAGTCAATTGCAAAGGCACTTGTTGCGTTTTACCAGAAGTTTGTGGATGAGCAGCAGAAGAAGGAGATTAAGGATATTCTCATTCGCTATGATAGGACTCTCCTTGTTGCTGATCCTAGGCGTTGTGAGCCTAAGAAGTTTGGTGGTCGTGGTGCTCGTTCTAGGTTCCAGAAATCTTACCGTTGATTTCAATCTTCAATACTATGGATTACCATTTACGGTAATTGAATTAATGTTTTTGTTAGTGTCCTTTCGGTGTTTTGCTTAAAGACCATATTTGGTTTTGGGAGGTTTCTAGTTAATTTTTGCCATCTCTGTTTTTATTTTGCTAAAACTTTTACAGTGTTATGATATTGTTAGTTTCAAATTCCCAATTTGCTTTCTTGTTTGCAAGATTTACTTGCTTGCTGCTGATATTGTGCTCAATTTACAATTGCTTCATTGATATTGTTCTTGTGATAGTTAGTTGGTGATCACTGTAAATGTAGTAGACCAACCCTAATTTTTTGTTGGCTTAAACTAGAAATGGGTTTTCTAGTTTCCAACCTCCCTGCCATTGGGCTAGAAGATTGTCAATTAAGTTTTGTTCCAATTGCACACAGAGTATCCTAACTTCAGACACTGAGTTTGAAGTTAAGTTTGGCTTGCCACTTTCAGACCTTTGGTCTTGGAAGATTAACTTTGTTGAATGTATGAAGTTTGAACTGCACAAAAAGTGCCAAATTCAGACATTTGGGTTCATTGTATGAGGCTTGGCTTGTCTTTAACTTCATAACTTAGGGGTGGAAGATTGCAATGCCTGAAAATTAGACTCGATTGTTTGATCGGTACACACATTTGCTAACTTAAGATTATCGGTGTGTGAAGTTAGATTCAGTGATTCCTCAACTTCAAGCATGTCTGTTAGGTATGTATATTTGATATTTGGAACTATGAAATCATTATTTCACTCAAGTTTTGTAAATCTAAGTTGACTTCTATTCAATCAAACCTTGTAAGAATGTTGTGTTTTGGTTAGTTCTTGAATAAGTGTCCTAAATATGTCTTTTTTCTAATTAGGGTTTTCAAATAAATTAGATTTCCCATGTTTATAATTATGATTCAGTTTGTTCAAAATATGCATGAAAGAATACACGGTTGATCATATCTCGTGTGTAAACTATATCGGACATATTCACATGATTTAGTAGTAGGCATTGCATTGTATCAACACAAATGACAATCAATGTATAGAGTTTGGAGAATATAATATGATACAATACATTGTCAAGAACACATAAAGATTAAGATGCCAAGGAAAAGCAAAAAAATAAAATGTGGTAGTGATCTATTGGGTACATAGGTAAATATAATGTGGTTGGAAGCTGCGAGATTAGTATTTAGTTGGATGGAGGAGGTGAATTTGTAGGAATAATATTTGGAATTGTGGGAATGTTTGGAAGGGATGGCGTGTTGGGTAGAGGAATGCTGGCAGGCATTGGTGGCAGAGTCATCTTAGGCACAGAGGGCAATGTTGGCAAAGAAGGTAAAGGTGTATTAGCTGTTGGAAGTGTTGGCAACGATGCAACACTTGGCAATGTGACTGCTGTTGGCAAGTTTGGTATAGTGGGCAATTTTTGCACTGTCGGCTGAGGCAATGAAGGGATTATAGGCAAGTTAGGAAGTTGCAGTAGGCTACGAGCAGCATGACTTGTAGTGATGCTTGATATGGCCAATAATGCCATCATCGATAAGAGGATTAATTTGTTAGATTGTTTTGATTAAAAGGAAGTTAAAGTGTGTTTTGATATGATTTGATGAGATTGTCTTCAGTGAAGGATATATATATATATATATGTATATATTTATATAGGGAAAGTTCTTGAGAGGGGTACTAGGATTTGGTGAGAAAGCTTAGACTTATAATTCTAATTACTGTGTTGTTAGTTGACCTTCCCAAATGTTGTTTTTAGGAATATTCATTTGATCTTTATTGATAGAGATGTTTTCTGAAAGTAGTTATGCACAGATGAAGTTTGGATCAACCATATTTGGTACTCACTCAAATTGATTAAATCATTTCTTTTTGGAAAAAACTAATACCATTCTCTGTCAGTGACATCATTTCCAGCGGAGACAAAAATATTAGGAGATTCTTTCCATCTGTTCTAGCATTGATGGACTGTGTTACTTGATATTTGTTGTTGGTTGGTAGATACGTGAAAACTGGTTCAGACATTATGATATAGAAAAACATCTAGGAAGTTGATCTGACAATTAAGTATCTATAGTCTATCAATAACTCTCTCTCTATATAGCCTTTTACTAAATGATCAATCTCCACTCAAATTAAAACACAACTTCAATTTCTTCATTTCCTTGAAGCAAAGTAATATTTGTCAAATTGACACAATGGCTGCTTTCAACAATGGATCAGTCCTCTTATTGATCATAGCATTGTTGTTCATATCAAGCATGACGACAAGTCATGCTGCTCGTAGCCTACTTCAACTTCCCAACTTGCCTACAATCCCCTCGTTGCCTCAGCCTACAGTGCCACAATTCCCTGCTATTCCAAACATGCCCACAGCAGTCACATTGCCACCATTGCCAAGTGTTGCATCGTTGCCTACGTTTCCCTCTGTTCCGAAAATGACTCTGCCTCCATTGCCTGCCAATATTCCTCTGCCCAACATGCCATCATTTCCAAACACTCCTAACGCTTTCACCTCCTCCATCCAACTGATCTCGCGGCTTCCAGAATTTTACTTGCCTTGCGCATATGGTCTTTACTGTTTGTGTTTTGCTCTTTCGTTGTCATCGATCAATGTATCCTATTGTTTGTACCTTCTTGAGTGTGCCGTATTGATTAAGGTAATGCAATATTCTAGATTTGATTTACCCATGTTCATTCGGCCAATTTAATTTCCAGATAACCAAACAAAAAGAATACTAATATTACTTTCAAAATTTTGACTGCGAGTTGCCTTGGTCCTCAAAGGAAGTGATAATGATAGATGAAGAATGGTTCAAATGAATGCAGAGAAACCTACTAGGTAAAAAAAGCAAGTCGCATATCAATAATATTGTTATAATGTCATGTGTTTGGATAGACATAAAAATTAAAAACACATCCATCACTAATTAACGTATAATTTTTACTCGTAAATTGTATTGATTTGGTATAAAATCTCAGAATGTTCACATATAAATAGATTAAATGTGTAACGTCTAACAGTTAATTATAATCTCCGAGCGTTCATATAAAAATAAATTAAATAGTTCAACCATCGTAAATTAAGTTGGTTTAATATAAACTCAATATATATATATATATATATATATATATATATATATATATATAATACTGAATTAAATAGGAATACATGACATGACCCTAGTATTTTTTTGGGTTCTCTTTCAATTTTTTGGATTCAATATTTTTTTCTTCATTGCATCATTTCACTTAATGAAACGTATGATTACATTTGAATAAGTTGTTAAAATCTCTGTCGTTCTATACGTCCTGTTAGACTTACATTTTAGTTCTCTTTTTTAATTCAAAATGATGACACAAAATTATGACATACGATATATGTTAAAAGGATGCAAGCTGAAGAATATTGGCATTATTATGAATTTGTTCACTGGTATATCATAAAGCTATTTAAAAAGGCTTAATACATAATCGATCTTTGAACTTATTAGAATATTTTATTTAGACATCCGAATTAAGTTTTTCATCGATTGAACTCCTTAAATTCTAATTAGAGTGCCTGTTAGGTTACTAAGCTGACCACCTAATTAAAGTGCCTGTTAGGTTACTAAGCTGACCACCTAAGATGTGTAATCTCTTTTAATTGTAAACATATAAACCATAAAATGTCACACGCTTACTATTTGAGTTCAATACATATAATTAAAAGAAACGACATATTTTATACTATTAACTTACTACTTGTGTAACTCTTGAGAATGCACATAAATACTTCTACAAAATTTGAACCAAAACTAGGACACTTTATTAGTTGTTGAGTGTTTGTTATATTGAAACATAAACTTAGGGTGTTTTAAGTAAACTATCCTGACAAATTTAAAAAATAAACTTGGATTGAAGTAAAGCTATGATTGATATAAACGTTCATGTGAACTAAAAAATGTGTTGAAAAACACCTACTATGATACGTATTGGAAAAACGATAAAAGAGAGAAAAACGAATCCGTTGTCCATCTGATTAAAAATAATCAAACAGAAAATTCTAAAATGGCCGCTTTAACGAGGATGACCGTTGTAGTGTAATTTATGTCTCTACTTTCAAGTCGTGTAATTTGACAAGTAGAAGTTGAGACAAACACTCCTAACAAAATATCAGAGTACGAGCAAACCTGGGAGGAAAAGAGAAAAGGAAGAAAGATGACGTGTTCTATGTTGGAGATAGAAATGGCTTCGTAGAACTCGTTCCTTCCATTCCGAGGTCCAAAGGCCGCAGACATGGAGGAGAATAAGCATCAAGAGCCTTCCGGACATTCTCCTCCTCCAATCTATCCTTCTTGTCAAGATCATCATTATTTTTGGCATCCTGATGACAAATACCATAACATCAGCTCATAACTTCCCACAAGCTCCAGCGAGAAATAGATGGAATAGGATACGCAGTGGTGTTCTTTATGTGAATTTCAGCGGCTTCCCTTGAGTTCTCCTTTGAGAGGGGGGGGGGGGGGGGTGTGTGTGTGTGTTTCTGGAAGGTATCAATGAAAAAGAGTAGTTACCTGAACTGAAACTTGGTTGAAAGTAGGAAGAAATCGAATCTTGCAATATTCGTTAAAGAGAATAGTGATGACCATGAGAGGGATAACGGAGAACGAAGCTGAAGGCTTGGCTTTCAATCCAAAAAGACCGATCATTGTGACTTGCATAAGTATGATTGCAACTATAATGTAGTGATGAATGTATGGCCAATACAGACCACATGTCTCGTATGTAGTTATATACACATCTTCAATCTGCACCACAAAGAACATTTCATTATACTTTTACCTCCATAATTATTCTAAAATATCTGAGCTAAACTGCAATACAGAAGCACCAGATAAAGTCCATAAAATATATACGTTATATCAGCAGGATACTTAAACCCTGGTGATAACAATGTAATTTAAGAGGTGTAAAGAGACGAATGTAATAACAGCTAATAAGAAAACTTAACTTGAAGCAATCCCCTTAAACAGAAGAAAACTAGTTACTGACAATAAGAACTACCACCGTTCCGCGAAATGAAAAAAAATGAAAAATGCAGACAGTGAAAATTTAGGGCTTGTAATAGTTTTGAAAAGGAAGTCCTATAAAACACAAAAAGTTGATCTGCTTCATGTATGTATGTATCAGTGGAGCAGGTATACTTTAGCAGGTAAAGCACAGAAATCTGCTACAAATCTGAAGAATTAGTACACATGAACACCTTAATTAATCTAAAATGTTATTTACATATTACAGTAGGTTTGCATCATGCGTAAATTCACCAACAGGTGTAGCACAACATATTATCGAAGACGACCTCGGACACAGGAAGATGTTACATAAGTTGTTCACAGTTTAATCCAAGCTTTTGACCAGTAAAAGAGATCTACCTCAGAGCAAAGAAAGTACAACTACACATACACATATGGACAAAGTCATATGGGTCAGGCTTATAAACAGATTGTCCTTTAACGCACAAATATTTCATGTAGAGAAACTTCACCTGGTTGATGAACACCGCATATCCAAGTAGGAAGTAGCCTACTAGAAATGGAAGAATCAAAGGTGAGACCACCGCATAAACAATCCCAATCAGCATGCAGAGAGCAACAAAAGGGACAATTCTATAATAAGGTAGTGAATAAACATAAGGACATTTCTTCTTTCCACGGTCCCATGTGTAAGATTTTAGAGTATCCCATAGGAGTAATCCTGGCTGAAGTATCTCCAATGAGAATCCTGACAGCCCATTTGTCAGGATGTACGTCACGAAGAAATCTGCCTGAAAGGACAGAAAGAAAAGTAAATGCAAAGATTAATCATCTACATGTAAAGTAAAATATAGAGACTATGATAGGCCCTATAGGTTCTTTATTAGGCTACAGTCAGGTAAAAATTAAAGCATCAACTGAAAACGTGTTCCCATCCCTCTTTTCCGATCAGATATTCAATATTCTGACACATGATAAAAAAAGATATTAGATGAAAAGAGAGAGAACATGTTTTGCACCTGAGCAGAGACGGCACTAGCAAGGCGGTTGGGAATATCCTTGGGATGGGAGAAAGATTCGCCAATTTGATCTAGTAAAGATCCTGACAACAAGCTTAAGAAAAATACATTCCCTACCAGGAAGTAGAACACCATGTTGCATGCATTTAAATCCTTCTTACTCCGTGAGATATAACCAGCTAATCTTGCCAGCCCAATCATGGCAAATGGAACAATGTATATGAAACCATTAAGAATGGCACTAGGAAGATATCCTGTGACGATGGATCTTAACCCCGGTCTGCCACAATATTTAAAAAGGATTGAAGATCAGCAACGTGCTACACAAGTTTTCAACTAAAAAACAACTGTACCTAGGAGGATTCAGTTACTAACCCGTACTCCACCTCAACTCTCCCTCCCCACAAAGAGAGAAAATAAAAACCAAAAGGCGGAAAGAAAAAACGATCTATCTGATTTGGAAAGAAAAAAGAATAAGATAAACAACAACGAATGAG